TGGACTGCAGAAAATCAAATTATAGGCTGAATTGGGATGGCTTGGCAGATGCCTACCTACTTAACAAGGCTGTCAGACTTAATTTCATAAGCATTAAAAAAAGTAAAGTTACATGAAAAAGGAGAATAACACAAATTTGGTCACAGAGATCAGCTTGTCATGAGCCAGAGTTGTGTCCTGCACTCAGGGTTTAAAAGTGAGAATAAGGCTCATTACATGTACACTGTGTGTGTACATGTATAATCATACTTAGCTTAGCTTTTAAGGAAATAAAGTAAGTTTTTCCTAAAACTGTATTTGTAACTCTTTCTATAATGTACATTGGATGATGCCACAATTTGCTATTATTGACCAGATTCCTTCTTTAATTTAGCCATAGTTGGTGTAATGGAATTTTCAATAACTTTTTTGCATGTTACATCAATAACTGTAGAAAAAAAAATAGAGATCTGATTATAAATCAGTATGTAGAGAAGCCAGTAATCCAGTTGTACCTCAGAAGAACTCGTTCTGGTACATTATAAGAGATAAAAATGTCCCAAAACACCCTGTTCAAATGCTACCACATCAAACTGTACTTGCTAATTTATTTTTTCTGAACCAGCACTAGTAATTGCAATTTTAAGATAAAATGTAATTGGTTTTGCCTGCCTCACCTCGGGAAGCAGATAAAAATAAATACACCACCAGTGAGTGTAAGCTTCTAAAAAAATTATTAAACCTTACTGACTTGAGAAATTAAGCTATGCATCAAATTCTTTAATCTGACAAAAATATTCCTTTAAGTTTATTAACAACAAAGAAAATTCAGGATTATTTTTGAAGAGACAGAAAAAAACAGCTGTATGCATGTGCAGATCTTAAAATCTTGACAGTTCTTGTGGAGCATGTTGAGCAAAATTTCCTGTGCTGCAGCTGCTCCAGGCCAACTGCCCATGTACACATTCCTACAGAGCAGAAAATAAAAGGTTTGCTTCAACCCCCAACCTGGAGACAGAAATAAACCCATTTATCCAATGATATAATACAAGCAATTGTTTCTGATCAGACTAAAAACCTTTTTTAGCACCAAGCAGAGAAGAACATGAAATCCACAGGGTTTTCTTGCCCACGGTGTAGTGGTGGATTATATACAGACATTTAATTAAAGATTTTTCTCTGGGTAGAATTTAATAATTAGTTACTTTTACCATAAGAGAATCTTCACAAGGAATCAAAACTACAGCTTGTTTCCTTACCTTGGATTTAAAGGATATGATAAAAGAAGGCACCAGGAGAATAAAGCACTTCAAGCCCATGAAGAGGAATTTCAGAATAAAGTCTGTGATTCCCACAGTCCAAAGCACCTCCCAAAAGTTCATAAAATCCACAGTGGGGCTTAAGAAGATTAAGCTACAAAAAGAAGTATCAGAAGTTACTGGAGCACCCTATTTACAGGAAACTGTAACCTGAGATTATCACAGCAGGTTTAATTAAAAAAAGGAAACCTGGTTAACACCAAGGGAGAACATTTGCTAAGAAAATGAACTGCTCGTTGTGAATGGATCACTGAGGATCTCTGACAACTTTTCCATCCTGGAACCTTCTTTGCTGTATCTTCATCACAGCCCCCATCCTCCAGAGCTCAGTTTGCTGTCTCAGTTTGGCATTCAGCCTTTGATTTCCAGCCAAGGCTGCAGCTACCGAATGGTCAAGGGGGAAAAATCAGTTGGAGTCATGAACTCCACAGAGCCCCAGGATGCCACGTTTGGTATTCCCAAGGGTCAGAGCTGGGAATCAAAGCCAGGAATGTTTTCTGTGGTACAGCAGTGCCATTAAATCGAGTATGGAGCCTAGCAAATTCCAACATACTGTTTTTAAGGACAGCACCTGTTAAATTTGGCAGAAGGGGAGGAATGGAGATTAAAGTGAAAGACAAACCAATGCCACAATTAAAGAAAAACAGCAGATAAAGTGTCCCAGTTAATGTCTGAGTATTTTATGGTGGGGCAGAGCTGTTTCTGCACTTACCTGTGATACAGGGACTGAGAGTGGAAGGTGTAATACAAGAGGAGAGATGATCCACTTAGGTAGAGTAGTAACCAAGTGCATTGCAACTTGGAGCACCGTTCCTGCAGGGGGATTGTAAAGACACATTGCAGTCCTTGCCTCAGAACATGCTGAAATACATCCCAAACCCCACCCCCTTGAATTTTGCAAACCTTGTTATCTATCTGAGAAGTTCCCCTGTACAGAAGCATTAAGACTTTACTTCCATCTTGATCCCTAATATTATTAAGTAAATAAAACACCATCTCGATTCACATTTCTTTCAAAAATGGATTAACTTGTTTAAGTCTTGCTTAACTTAATGAATTTTGTTGCAGAGGGTTGATACTTACTCTGAGAAAAACCTGATTTACTATGCTTTTGTTTGCATATGCATAAGTTGTTAGCAGTCCAATTCCAAGAGAAATGCCTATTAGGAAAATAGGATCAATTATAAACATGAAAAGAAAAAAAAAAAATCACTGAACTGGGTTAAAAAGCAGCCACTTCTAATATGTCTTTGTAATTAGAATTAATAGCTCAGACTCTCAAGCCACGATAATTAAGCACATTGTACATATGCCAGCAAAGGAAACAGAAGCCACTGAAATGTAGTTTAGTAAATCTCTCTTTCTGATGAATAAAGCAAATAAAAATAAAGCTAAAAATAAATTGAATTACATTTCAGGCATGGTTATTAGTATATTTCTTGGCGTGGGGAGTAGGGGCTATTGCCTTCAAGCTGGTTTGGTTCTACTCTACCAGTTATGTGCTGCGTGAGGAGTTTGACGCCGAGGATCAGGAGGTAGGGCAGGCTCTTGTGCAGCCACTGCAGGAGGTACCGCAGCTCTGACAGGGAGCTCCCGCCCTGCTCCTCCGGCTCCGCAGCCGCGTCCTCGGGCCCTCCTGCCTCCCCATGGCCGTGCCCGTGGGAGCGGCTCTGGGAGACCGGCCGGGAGCCCCGGGAGCTCGGGTTTTCCCTGGATTCCCCCGCGCTGGAGCTCAGCTGGATGCGCACATCGCCGGTGCCTTCCCCCGCCAGCCTGGGCGAGGAGGAGGAGGAAGAGTCATCGCCGCTGCCCTGGATGCTGTGGAGATGGGCGCAGTCGGGGTGCATGGTGGGGTTTGCTCCTGGGGTTTTTTCTAATTTGTGTCTCCTAGAGAGGGATGTAAAAAGGGACAGTTAAAGAAAGAGATAAATAGTTCAGGAAAAAAAAAACCCAATAGGTTGTACTGAGTGACTGCAAGATTCTCTGAGATCCTGCCCGAGTTTGTTGTATGGGTCACACCCCCTCTCCACAGGACAGCTTCCTGTGTCCCAAACTAAAATTATTTCCTTCCCTCCATGTGCAGGTTTTCCTGGCTGCCTTAGGAACAGCTAAAAGTGTGAACCAGAACAGCAAAAGCTGCCGGACAGGAGACCAGCACTGGCTTGTACAGGAGAGATTGTGGAAGTGCTGCATAATTTCACAAAAATAGCAACAGCAGTGGGCCAGAAAAGGAGCAAACACTGATGGGAAGGAAGCAGGGAGTACATTTCCATGCATCCATTAATTGGTGAGCACTGGTTCAGACACGTCCAGTCAAAAGCCAGTGCATGCTCAGAACTGAGGGCCATTATGAGATTAATGAGATTATCCTGTCTGGGGAAGGGAGCAGAACCAGGTTAGGCCATTTCCTAAGAAGCATTTAAAAGAGTGAAAAATGAAATGCAACCAAATGAGATCTGATTTATCTTTCCTTTGGCATTTTTTGGTTGCCTTCTGGGCAGTTTTTCACTTCTCTGTGAGTCTTTACTCGGATCAAACAGGGTTAAATCAACTTCTCTGGACTGATGTGACATTAATGATTTTGGAAAATGCCTCGAAGCTGAATTTGACACAATACTTGTCACTATGGAGTAATATTGAAACACTGAGAATTTTGATATAAACCTCTTTCTACTGTTCAAACTTCCGGATTCCTCTTTGAAAATGTTTTTTTTTTTTTTCACAGCTAGGTTCACTGGGGATACAGAAACAAAGCAAAATTGATTTTGCACAGCAAGTTCTGGATGCATTTGCACATACCTCAAATTCTTTAGCCTTTAAAATGAATGTAACATTAACAAGTGGAACCCCTTTAACACATGAATATGAGAACTTACTAATATTTACAAGTGCTGCTCCTACTACTACTATTTTTTTTGTTGGCCAAAAATGACATCATACTTCAAAACAACCTAAATTCTCATTCTGTATTTTTTTTTTTGCACACGAATAAAACCGATGGAGATGGTATTGACTAGTGTGAACAATGTTACAGTGTTAGTGAGCAGTGCTTTTACAGGAAGGAATAAAAAATACACCTCATTTGCCCTGCAGTTGGTGTTTTGGGGACGGGTTCTGCAAGAACTGACAGCTCAGTTTTCAAAAAGCCAGAGGTGAGGGATCGCACCGAGCAAACTCCCATTAAATGGGATTTCAGAGATTTTGTTCTCCCCTCAAAAATTAACTAAAATACGGCTCTTCAGAAAGGCCCATTCGCGCATTCCCCGACTCTCCCGAGGCCGCTGCTCCCCCCGCGCTGCGGGAAGGGAAGGGAAGGGAAGGGAAGGGAAGGGAAGGGAAGGGAAGGGAAGGGAAGGGAAGGGAAGGGAAGGGAAGGGAAGGGAAGGGAAGGGAAGGGAAGGGAAGGGGAAGGGGAAGGGGAAGGGGAAGGGGAAGGGGAAGGGAAGGGTGACCCTCCCCGTGTCCCCCTCCCTGCCCCGCGCTGTGAGGGGACGCGGGCGCGGCCCCTTTCCCGCCCCTCCCCGGTACCTCATGGGGCGCCCGGCGCCTCCCGCCCGCCGCCCGCCGCCATCGCCGGGGCCGAGGGGGAGGAAGAGGAGGAGCCGTGAGGGGAGGAGGAAGGAGAGGCGTGAGGAGGGAGGAAGGCTCGGAGCTGGGCGTTGCTCTGGCAACGTCGCGGCCTTCGCCCCGTCACGGCCCGTGAGGAGGGTGCGCCTCCCCTCAGCCTCCACCGCGCCAAAACGAGGGGGAGGGTCCTGTTGCTTTTTATTTAAAGCCGCAATTAAAATTAATCTGGGAGGGCAATAATTAGGTAGGAAATGGAGGGATGGATGTAAAAGTATATGTGTACTGCGGTGTCATTACTTGTCGATGGCGATTAAGGGAGTCCTGCTGTCTGGAAATTGGCTTTGCCTCCCAGGAAACCTGAGGGAAGCGCTGCCCTAGTTAATGCTGCTGTAGCTCTTGGGAGAGGTTTGGAGTGAAATAGATACAGGTTTTCTTTTGAAATATGCTCTTGAATAAATTAGTTTGCGTCCAGAAATGGCATCTGTTTTCCCTGGCTCAGATATTTTTCTAGAAAAAGTGTTTAGGTATGCAGCTCACATGGAAAGTGGGACTAATATCTAAGCAGCTTTGAAAATCGGTGGTGTATTGTTTTGAGTTAGAAATGCCTGTTTAATTCCAAAGTTTGAATACAGCAATGCTGTGGGGTCAGTAACCCCTGGAGAAGAAAAGGATGGGCCCTTAGCTGTAGATGTTATGAAGTGGAAAACTTAAGTGTTTGGAAGGGTTACGTGGCTGGGTGTTCAGTGGCACCATCTAACAACAAAGCTTCTCTTTTCTTTTCAAGGAAGTAGCTGAAAACACTGGCTGCATCTCTGTGTCTCTTGGAGGTAGGTTTTGAGGAGGCAATTTGATCTATATTTATGATGTTTTTGGAAACTGTGCCTAGAATTTCCCGACTGGAAAGTTCAGGTCACAAATCCTCTGCGTTTCGCTCAGGCTGTGGCTGATGGATTGGAAGAAACCTGGGCTGGTTATTACAGATATACTTAAGTATTAAACACAGCCACAGGCCTCCTGTTTCTGCAGGCCCTCTGAACTCAGAAGACCTTTCTCATTTGTGTAATTTTTCTGCCTAATTATCCCAGTACTGCTCAGTAGCAGCACCGATGCAGATTTCAGATGCCTGGCAGGAAGCACTCAAAGAATTTCATGGCCATGTCCCCATCCTTCCAAGGATAACACAAACCTGTTGTGTTTGGCTTCTGCTGTGCCATATTGTTCATTCTCCCACTCTTTGCTCAGTCAGTCACTTGCATCGTGTTTGGATTATGAAGGACAATGTGAAAAAAAATCTTAATTTGCTTCTCAAATCAGGGAAAGCAATTATAAATCTTTTATTTTTAAATAGTGTTTTATGATTGGAAATTATGCATGCCTTCTGTACATCGCTTGGAAGGGTATAAATTTAAAAGATTTGTTCAGCTGTTTCTTTTTTGTAATTATAAAATGCATTAAAGTACAAATGTAGCTTTAAATCCACATTGTTCTCAAATTGTTTCTCATTGCCACATGCACTGAAAACACTAAATTAATTCGTGGCAGCTTATTAATCAGTGGTGTTTGCTCATGCAGGTCACTTGCTGATTTATCTCCAATTCGCAGCTCATTAGAAGGTGTGTAACTCTTCAGAGATGTTGTTATTTAACAGGTATGTTTTCCTAGTGCCATTAATGACCTCTGGATTTAGTAACTCCTGACACAAGAGAGATTTGGGAGATTATTCACAGAAAATTGGAAGTCTTTTCCCGTGGGCATTGGACACATTAGGTCATGGAATATCTGGTGATAAATTTACCAGTCTGGATTTGGATTCTACTCCCAGGAGGCCAATAAATTTCATAGAGTGCCCAGGCACATTTTCAGGTGTTTATACACTCAGAAGTATCCCAGACTTTCTCTGCCTCCCAGGAACAGCTGGTATCTCTTTAATTGGTGCAATCAGCACTTTCCATCAGTGTGTACCTGCTTTTCCTGGGCTTGTTCAGTGCATGAAAACATTGGAACAAACTCTGATCCTTGTGGAACTCTGCCTGGGACGCCCTGGCAGCTCAGTATTTACCTCTGCAGCAGCAGTTACTCCCTCCTAGAAGTTGCTGAGAGCTTGTTTTACAGGCAGAAGAATATTAGCAGGATGTATTTTGTGTCCTGAAGGAGCTCTGCAGAAACCTGAGCAGGTTAAGGGGTTACAATCCTTACCTTTTGTATCACCTTTTTTCATCAGAAGGAATTGGTGCTTTAAAATGAGGTGTGCAGCATCATCTGCTGATCTCAAATACAGGGGAAGTATTTTTAGTTAATGAAATGATAAAAAAAATGGGCTTTTTGGTAAGAGTCTGTAGAATAGCAGAATGTCCTGAATATTCAAAGGCTTTATTGGTTTGTCTTCATTTTACCCAAAATGCTGCTTGAGTATGGAAGACTTCTGCAAAATTAAGAGGGTTTAGTTTAAACTGTTTGAAGGATTTGAAAGTGCTTCCAAGAGGCTCAAATAACCTTTAAATTTTGAATGTTTCCTGAGCTTTGAGTGTTCCATCTTTTAAAAACTGTCTCCTGCAACTCTACAAACCCTGACTTCAGTTTGTATTTTGAGCACAAGAAAACAGCTCCTGAGTATCTGAGACTGTGAAGAACAGAGCCCAGTTCTGAAAACACCCCTGAGGTGATGGCTGAGTTTCACTGCTGAACTCTGATCCTCTAAGCTTTGTCAAGGAGACTCGCCAGGAATTCGAAGCAGATATTTTTGTGTTGCAATGACATCACCCCGTTCCCTGAGGTTTCCAGAAATCTTGAGCCCTCTGTGTACAGCAGCGTGTTCATTCTTGTGAAGTCATTCTAAACTGAGAGTGATTCCACTGCAGTGGTGTCATGTAATTGTTCCAAAGCTGCTGAATTAGATCCCGGAGTCTTGTTTGGTTTTGTTTTGGTTTTGTTTTTGTTTTTTTAGGCAAAGATAAAGCCTTGAATGAGAATCAGCCAGCAGAGCCACAAAGGGCAGCTGTAGTTTTTGCTCCCTGCACAGGAGGGTGCTCAACCTCTGTTTTTATCTGCAGGAAGGAGTGACTCCGTGGTCATCAGGACCAAGTGGAGAAGCTGTTTCCTGAACCGGGCTTTTCTTGTAGAGACACTGGAGGATCTGTTAAATCCAGTGACTCAAAAATTATTCAGCTGCTCAAGAATTTCGGGAGGTGTGTGTTAATTGCTGCTGTTAGACCATTACGGAGGTATTTAGGTCAGAAGATGTAATGATCATGACGCTGGTATTCTCTAATGGGTGTCCTTAAAGGTGCCAGAATTTTCAGTAGGATCTTTGAAGTTTCTCAAAATAAGGGTTTTTTCCCATCTAATTTGCTCATCTGAACGTGTGAATCCCCGTGTGAATCATTCAATTGAACAGTGAATTCTCATGTGTGTAAACATGAGTGGGTTTACCAGGAAGGAGTAGATGAGTTTGTTAATTTATATTCCATTTGTAGTACCTGCTGGTAGTTATATCCTTAATTATTCTGTATTTTCCTTGTTGAATCATAGAATACCCTGAGATGGAAGGGACCCACTGGGATCATCCAGGTCCCACTCCTGGCCCTGCACAGGACAGCCCTAGCAGTCCCACCATGTGTATGATATACAGCAATACATTTCCAAACCCAAATTTAATCTTCTAACATAACTCATAAAATGGAATTTGACTTTCTGTTTACCTTTTTAGGGATCAAAGAGGGGTCCTGGATGTTGTTGTCTGGTCAGGTTTTAGTTAAGTGAGTTTTCTGTCTGAAAGCAATTTGTCAAACCTGTGTGTTGTACAATATTCCAGCCCTCTGGGTGCACATCCAATTTAGTCACTGAGGAAAGACAGTTTTGTTTTTAAAAAGCAGATGTCTGGAAAAGGAAATACCTCCTTTCAGACCTTTTGGAATAAATACAAACCTAGAAATGTAGTGGGCAAAATCTTGTTAGCTGTGGTGAAGGGGATTCGTCCCCTTAACGTCAGCACATAAATATTTGCTTCATTTCAGTCAATATTTACCTCACGGGTCAATAAAACTTGTTTTGCACTTCACAGAGTTAATATTTACTTGCTGTTTTTAGCTTGGTGACAATATTTAAAATTCTCTTAAGTATATGGCGGGCTTTTCTACTTCTTTTATAACAAAAGATTTTGTTTTAACAGAGGTGTGTTAATTTATTAGGAAGTGTTATCCATGAATCAGACCATGTTTGTCACCTAATAAGATTATCCAGATTATGCCTATAACACTTTACAAGTATGAAAAGGATTTTTTTTGCTTGAAAGTGACTAAATGTCTTACCAAATTTTAAAGTAGTTGCTTGTGTCTGTAAAATTAGGCTGTAAAACTTAAGACACTGACACTAATTTAGAAGGTAAAGTGAAATTAAAGCAATTCTTACTCTGAAAATAATTTTTGTTTTGGAAAGCAATCACTAACTTCACCATTTTTTTAGTTAAGTCAAAGCACAGTGGCCAGGCTTGTATGGTTTAGGAGGAAATGCAGAACTGAATTTTAGATCCTTAGAGCTGACAAGACCACGTTTGCAAAAGTACAGGTTCATTTCCACGGCAGAACTTTCCCCAGTGCATTTCATATTTCTGTCACAGCTGGCTGGGTGCTATTTCCAGTGGGTGAGGTGTATTAGAAGTTGATCCATGGCTTCCAACCTGCCCCAGCCTTTGTCTGCAGCTGTGGGTGAGGCCAGCCCCAGCTCCTGTGGCTGCTCCAAGGAGATAACGGGGTGCTTGTTAAGCCACGTGTGTTATCTCACTGCCTTGTGCCCTGCTCCTGCCTGCTGTGCTTAACCCCAGTCCTCAGCAGCTTGTTTACATTTCTGGCACAAAAAGGACCCCAAACATCTCCAGTTCTGTCCCTCTGAATGGTGATTTTGTGATTGATACAATTAGACATGAGGGTGAGGTCATTTAATTGAAATCTTCAGTTGAACCAAAATCTCTGAACTAAATCACAGCGCACCCATATCCTTCAAACTGTCAAACAAAACATCTGTTTATGATAATCATTATCTTAATTGAAGAGTTCTAGCTCATGCCATGCTTTTCTTCATTAATGGAAAGAATTAATGAAAGAATACTTAGAAAAGTACTTAACTATTTCACTAAGAACTACTTCTGAAGTGAAATACTGCTGAAGGAATACTGGAATTCATCTTAGACTCCTATATAAACTTCCTCCTGGTGAACTTAACCAAGTTAACCATTTTTCAGCCTCCAATGCTGCAGTAAAAATGTGCTTCCTTAAATCTGGCTTGCTTGCAGACAGAGTCTGACACACTGGATTTAGTACAGCTGCAGAATTAACATTCAAAACTCCCATGCTGCACAGTTTCCCCACGTGTTACATAAAAATGCTGTGCAGCTCCTCTCTCCAAGCTCCTCTCTCAGGGCTTTAGCTGCCTGTTTGCCTCCCCTTTGGTTACTGTTTTCATTTATACACAATCCAATTTTACACTCACCCAAATTACTGCTCATTGTGAGATAAATATGGTAAATTGATAATTCTGCCCAATATTGACTTAACATTCAAGGTGTAACAGCTTCAGAACATATTTTGAAGTGTGTTTCAGGTGATGGGAGGCAATGTGGGTTTCTTTGAACACCTGAACTGTAGAGCTGTGATGGTTTGGATGCTGTTGATTTTCAACATCCACAGTTTGAGATCCATCTCTATATTGTTTAATCCTGCAAGGTAGAGAATGGCTTAGATTCCATACCCAGATTTTCAGGATTTTTTTTATCCAGAGACTGAATTTCATTCAGGAAGATTTTTGGGAAAGTAGCTGATTTGATTTAGGGAGTAGATGGATTTTAAAGTCATGGTAGGTAAATACTATCAGGTATACCTCCTCCTCCTCCATAGCTTTTCATGGCAAAAGTAGTTCTGTTATTTTTGTATTCTAAAGAAATATTTCCTAACCTTTATTTTACAAAGATTCCTTTTTAGCAACCAACTAATTTTTTTTTTTTAATCAGTTTTTCAGCCCAGACTTGGTAATCACTCCTTCCCTCTTTGTGCTAATGGTCCTTCCCCTCCAGGAAAATCTTAGCTTGGATTCCTATGGAGTCAGCAGTGAAGGATGGATTGGGAGCAGTGTGAAATTCTTGCTGGTGCTGCAGCATCTCCTGACAGGAGAGCAGAGCCACAGAGGAGGAAACAGCATCAACATTCTTCATAAAGCAGAGAAAATAGGTGCAGGCAAATCCTTTAAATTGAGCTATAATGAAATTATTGTTTATAGCCCAGCTTCTCCCTTCCATCCAGAATCTGTCATTTAGGTGATTGGGCCAGCAGGTGCAAACATAATTGAATTCAGGGAAATAAATATGGAGGGAGGCTGGGGATTGTTTGCTAAAAAGAAGACATCTAGTTTACTAATTAGGAGGATTTATAGGATGCTGCACTTAAAAATAGATGATTATTGATGGTTCATCTTAATCATGAGAGTTACTTTATAGTTTGAGGTTTCTTCCAGCTATAAGCAGGAACAACAGCTCCTCTGCTCTGGAAACTTTCTGAAAGGCTGAACAGAAACAATGTTGTCAATTTAGAGAGGAGGTAGCAAAAAAAGTGTGTTACATCTGTCTTTGAATGAGTTACACAGCGGAAAGAACCCGGAATTGTTTTTAATTATAAGAGCATAAAAAGTTATAGGACTGTAGGAACGAAGATGAAATTTGCTTTTGATATTCTCATCTAAAGATATGTTAAAATCATAGGTAGATATTAAACTAAAATACTTGTCAGTGGACACTGCTGAAGTGCAAGTTAAATATTTTAAATTTCATTTATTTTAAATGCAGTAGTGCTGATAACACTGGCACTTAGGTCAATATCATTTCTCATTAAAGTTCTTTCAGCACTCACAGCTTTATCAGTTACCAGCGAGCTCATCACAGCAGCCAGGTATGAATTACACATTTCCCATGCCTTTATCTCATTCATTTCTCCATCCTGCACTTCAATAATTTGAATATGAAGTACATCAGGAAAACAGAGTTGTTTTTTTCTCTATGGAGAGCTCAAGCAGAACTGTTCCTCACAAGGAGTAACAAACAGCCAGACTGAATTACCATGGAGGATGTTGCAGCTGAGCTTGTAAATATTATTTTGATAGACTTATATTTCCTTCTGAAAGGAAAGAGTATTAAGGAATATTTTGAAAATATAGAAAGGGAATAAAAGAAAAAAACAAACCCAGTAAGATAAACCAGTAAGATAAATTTGGCTCACCAGCCTTTTTGCCATTTCATGTCTAACATTCATTTTTGAGATATATCAGTTACATCAAGCTGAGGCCAGCTTAGTTTTATGTGCCTGATAAAATGGAGTGGATTCACAAAGATCTGGCCCATTCTCTTCTGTCACCTCATATTTCTGTTACTGTGTCTGTACATTCTATTTTAACAGTTTGGAGAAAAAGAAATGAAAGTTTCTAAGTAAATATTATTACATTCAGTTACTCCATAGAGATTCTGTATTGTGTATTCCTCCAAGTAATTCATCGTGATAAAATGAAATGCTGAAATAAAAGAGTTGATTAAAATTTAGATTGGAAATTGAAATATCAAATGAATCTAATCTGAGAGTTATGATTTCAGGTTTTCTTACACCCAGCAACAAATAAATGAATATCCAGGAAGTGGAACAGCCACACACTCAGGGCTGGGGCAAACACTCAGGAGGAGCTATGGAATAAGAGAATCCTTTAATAGAGAAATCTGTTCTTTGCTTTTGGCAGGGCTGTTCTGAGAAAGGGTTCATAATGCCCCAGAAGTCTGGATTTTTCTGGATTTGGGAGGAACCAGTAGGAACCAGAGATATGTGGATGTATTTGATGTATTTGCTATTCCTCAGTTGCCTCAGGAAGTGCAGAACTTTGCTCCTACAACTTCCCTCTGGGTGCAGACTGATGTGTCCAATGGACAATCCAGCTTAGTGTAAAAATTAGTTCAGTTTGCTTCTGATTTAATTGTAAAATCATTCAGACTTTGTGTGTTTTCTCTGTGAGTAATCCAAATTTAGATTTCACTGTTGGTGCTACCTGTTTTTGGTTTTTTTTTGGGTTTTTTTGTGTGTGCTTGTGTTTAATGCAGCTGAAAGTTATTATGTAAAACGGGTAAATTGGAGTCTTTAAAGGAGCTGCCAACTTAAATTTGCCTGAGTTTCTTCAGCAGTGGAGAGGAGAGGAAGAATTCCAGACACGTCATCCTGATTTCACAAGTCTGCAGAGATCTCCAGAGTGGACTTACCCATCTGTGTGAGGTAGTAAATAGCTCTGTGCTTTTGTTGCTCACAAGTGGCTGCACATGTGTGCTCCAGCCATGTAATCCATGGCATCCACGGCTCCATCTCTGCCTAGGCACACTGGCCATCCCCTGGCTGGGCACAGCAGAGTCCTCAAGGCTGGCAGAAATGGGCACTTGCACTCAGAATCACCCTGCAGTGCAGTGCAGGTGCAGGACTTCCTCTCTGACCTTCCCCCAAAACACAAAAATTGGCATCTGAACATTCCTGCACTGTTCAGGGACAATACTTAGCTCATGATTAAAGTGTTCCTCCCAAAACCTGACAGTTTTCTGTGTTCACTCACCCTGAAGTGACAAAAGATAGGAAGAAGAGGAGAATGGAAAGGGAGGCTTCACTTGCTGTGACCTTAGCTTCCAAAACAATGCTGGAGAAAGCCACCCTTGTCTCTGGGCTTCCAAACCAAGGGACCAGCATGGCCAGCTGGGGACAACCCCTGAAATGGATGTTGTTCACAGCTCCCTGCTCTCACAGTGTTTGAGCCTTGTTCAGTTTTGTCCATGGCACTGTGGGAGAGATTTCCCCTGCTCCAGAGTCCCTGTGGCATCTCCTCAACACACACAAAATCACACAAATTCACCTTTCAGCTGGCTCCTACAAATCAAAGTCTCCTCGTGGAGCAAACCCACATTCCCTTCATTGTTGTTTCACATTGTGTACCCATGAAGGGTCCTTCTGGATTCAGTTCTAAAGGGATAATTGTACTACTTAAATATTAAACATCCAAGTTCTTTTTTTATTGTTAAACCAATATTAAAGTAGGACGAAGCTGATTTACACTTTATGGCAGTGCATTCCAGAGTCGCTGGTGTTGCAGCTGATGTCCTGTTCCAGCAATATTGGCACTGCCAGGAGGCACAGAAATGGAGATTTTAATCAAAAAACTTTATTTGAGATCCACTTCAGTGAAATTATAAGGTAATCTTGCCTTGTGAACTTCCAGGCTGTTAAAAAGGGCAAATGGCTGCAGTGTCCTCTGAAACAATTCAAACCCTATTTTTCATCAGGAGATGATGCCACTGCCCTGGAATTGAAAGTTGGGTGTCTTTTCCTCACAGATTGTTATTTAATCACTATATATTAGCTTTCATTGCCCTTTTGATATATTTAGGCTCATAAACTTCTCATTGACTAGATTGAATTTACCACGATGTTGTTACTTTTTATGAACAGAATGAATCAATAGCAGATCTGTTGGCTTGCACTGAATTGTTTATTTTAAGGGATGTTTAAACTTTACTGAGAGAAAATGGAAGGGCTGATGCTCAGTCCTTCTCTTTAATACTCAATATTTGGTAACACTCTGACTACAGCCTGCCTCAACCAGCAAGTGCTGCACACATTTCCAGAGATCCAGGGCCAGCAGTATTTCCTAACATTCTTTGAAATGTAAAATATTTTGCAGTATTCCCAATTTATGGCATTTAATGCTTGCAAAATATTTTATTGTTGTAATAGAAAGCTTTTGTTCCATTACAAGGGAATATTCCAGAATAAGACTATTTTTTTCACTGAAAATAGTAACTCTGTCTTGAAAATGTCTGTCTGATATCTCCTTATATATATTTATATATGAGGAAATAGTAATTTATTTTCTTGTACTCCTCAGATAATCTGTACAAGCCAGTTGATTTAATCTATGAATTTGAAGCACAGTATTAAGAAATATCACTGGGTTCATTTTATCATTAAATTTTAGGGATGTGGTTTCTTGTTTTGTTTTGGTTTTTTTTCCCTGATTGTATAACAATAATAATTAAAACCATCTATTAATTAAGTTCCACATAGGCAAGTGCAAAGCTCTGCCTAGTGGATCTAAAAATTTGGGAATTCTTACATTAGTGTGATCAGGTGATAACAGCCCAGACTTTGTGCTTGCTGGAGGGATTTATTTGGATTCACTGTTGCCTCTATGAGCTCCCTCCCCTGTTATTTATGCATCTTTATTATTGTATTAAGTGGTTAATTAAATCTGGTCAGGTTCATCTTTGTTGATGATTAGAAGTAGGCATCTCAGCCACTGGAAAGCAAATAATTTTGGGTGGAACATCTTGTTCTTGTTTGAATCATTATCTTTGTTTACATTCACACAGCATTAATCGCTTGAACCAGACATTTTTGAGGAAAGAGGGGGAGTGCCCCAGAGCAGGTTTCCAAATGTACAGAAATTATAAAGGAGAAACATTTCCCTTCCTTATTCTCTGTGAGCAAAATAGGGAAACGGTATGAATTAATAATCCAGAATTCCAAGTGTTCACAAAGAGCTGTAATTTGTTGTCAAATAACTTTGAAAAGCCAAACCTCCAGGCTACTCAGCTGAGCTGAGTCCTGTTTCCTCAGTGAGAATTCTTCAGCAGTAACATTCCAATATTTTCCTGGTGGAGTATTTGTCATTCTTTTCCAATTATTACTGTTATTATTCTATAACTCTATTTGTCTTTGTTCTGTGGTCTGTTCTTTTTCTGAGTGCTAGTGAAAGCCTCTTGTCATATTCCCCTTGGTTTGATATTTTCTGCCAACTCCTCTGCCGTAAAGCCTTTTTTTCCTTCTTTTTTCCATGCAATGGGATCTTACCTCCATAAAACCATTGCCTTTATTGCTCATGGAGGAGTGATTTTATCCCAGAAAAATTCTTCAGTCATCAAGGTGGGAAAGACCAGAAAGAGAAATGCCAAAGTGACCTCCTGGCTGATTTTCTGATTCTTCTTTGGAAGAACTCAACAGCTCAGTCAAAAGATGTTCATTCTGAGGATTATTTTATTTTGAGCATGAAAAATTTTTTATGAACTGTTGCTTCTCTGGAGCCAGATTATGGGATCATAGGAGATCTGTAAGCTCAGCATGGTCCAGGAAGAGGGATAGTAGGAAATTAGAGAAAAAATAGAGTAAAAACACAAAAGATTTCTTGGTACCACTATAAACCCGTCATATATCTGTGTGAATACGCTCTGCCTCAAAAAGGAGATGCTAAAACAGCAAAAGCTGTAGAGAAGGACAAAAAATGCAATCAAAGATATGGCAGATGTGGGGAATGTGAACTGGATTCCCATGTTCCTCCTGCAAAAGGCCTCCAAGTCATTTAAAGATGTAACTTTCTTTTATGCAATTCCTTTTCTGATTAAAATGGTCTTCTGTAAGTGATTTTATGATACATATAAATATTATGGTTATCAGTCTTCACAGTTAAAATAAGGCTTTTTTTCTTTGGCAGGAGGAAGGCTATACATGCAAATTCAGATTCCTGATGCATTCCCGCTAACTCTGCCCTTCTGTTCTGGCAGAGTGAGGGAAAATTGTAGGGCTTGTATTTTCTTTTATTTGTTTCTTTATGTATCATGTGCTCTCTGATTCTCACTTATTTCTTATTTCATTATCTTTCCTGTTCTTTTTCTTTTTTGAGGCTACATTTGTGACTGCATTTTTTCTTTTATTTGTTTACTTTGCCTTGAACTTTCTCCTAAATCCTTTTCTTTTCAGCCAGACCTGAATAAATGCATTGAAGTGTCATTTTTCTCTCCTTCCATTTCCACTTCCCTTCCTCTTTTACTTCCATATCTTTTCCCCCATAATATTATCACTTTCTCCTCAGCATTTCTTGATGTTTTTCTTTCCCATGAACTTTCCTATCCTTTTTTTTTGGTATTTAGTACTTTACCTTGGGGGAGACTCAACAAGGACTTGGGTCTTTCTTCCTTAATAGTGCAAAACTGGATAGAAACCACCTTAAATATATCTGGGACAAACTCTGTCCTAACTGTCCTGTGGCATGAGGATGACTGGGAGCAAATAAATTCCTGTTTAGCAAATTTAACTTCTCCTAAAAATTCAGTCTCCATCCTTCCAGCTGGAAACTGGATCATATAATGGGTTATTACAAGCTGTTAAAATTTGAGACCGAGGAGGGGGAATAGGCTGAAGTTATTCCATGGATTGTTCTGTTCTTTGTGGGAGGCTGTTAAAATAAAGCAACAGTATAAAAGATGAATTATATACAATTTAATGTAAAGCTGTTGGAAGCCATTAGGATATTTCTTCCTTGATTGTCTAACATTTGTGTACTTTTACAAAGTTTTACATTTTTTGGTTCTTTCCGAACATTATGAAAATTGTACTGAGAGGAGTAAATTCATCTGCATAAAATTGACTGCAAAGAGCAATTAGTCCTTCATTAATATGCAAATTTGGTCCAGTGCAGATTCATCTATATATGAGGCTTAAATATGCAAGTCAGTCTTGCTGTGCGAGAAGCCCAGATGCTTTTATTTACTTTGAAATTGAGGGATTTGGTTAATGATGTTGTTGACAGGAAAACTTGAATAAATTTGATGATCACCATCTTTCATATTAGACGAGGCCCATGGAAAAAAATTACCAAGTAAAATACCAATTTTATTTGGTAATTTCCTATTACCAATCTTGTAATAAAATGTAAGATAGAAAGTAATAGAGTTAGATTTCCTAATGTAGTTATCCTGAGACTTAAACTGTTCCCCAAAGATGGAGCCATTTTTCTTAAACTTTGTTTTTCCAGAGGGTAAAGACATCTCCATAAGCTGTATGAATAACACACTGCCTGGAGATTTAATATTGGAAAGTTGGTTCTGTGACTTGCTTCAGTTGGTGAGAGGATATAAGCCTGGGAATGAAGAAGCAGGAGCTTTGGAAATGGTTCTTTGTCATCTTCCATGATTTATCTGTAGGGTCTTCTCAACAATTAGTTTTGAGGCCTTTGCCCTGTGGAACACCCTGGAATCTGTATGAACACACAGCCAATTCTATTTGAGCTCCTTAAGAAACATTTTCTTAAATATCTTGAAATCTTTACAGCCCTTTACTTTCTTCCTGTTGGCACACACCATAGGCTGGCTCAGAGAAGCAGTAATACTAATTACTGCTCACTAATAAATCCAGGCTGTGGGGTATCTTGTCTCTCTCCTCTTTACTTGCCCCACAGTTCCTTTGGCACATCCAGGATCCCCCTGGTTCTGTCCAGCATCCATCACTCAGGCAGGTATGAGAACAGGTCCTTTGCACTCTTCAGTCTTGATTCACCTGCAAGATCCCACAAGTTCCTCCTCCTGTTTCTTCCTTTTTCTTTCTCTGCAATTCCTTCAGGCCTAAATTTAGCTTTGGCTTAAGCAAAACTGGTCTTTGACTTCAATCATGCTTATTTTTTTCCTGGACCAAACCTGGTCTTCTCTCTTGCCTGATTGAGGCATTGGCACTTCCAAAATAAGAGAGAAATATGGTTTAAATGGACTGAACTGTGTGATAATTTATAAAGCTCTAGTTGTAACTACCTGAGGACAAGCTAATAGATGAGACCATTTGATTCCTCTGACTTCTGGCACAGCTGGTTGGGATATAAATCCTCACAACAGTTGGTTTCCAAATCCTTAATGTGCTGCACTAGGCAAAAAGTTTCTACAACCATGTTCAGGAGAGAAAAAAAATTCCAAAATTGTTCATATGGTCTTGCAGGTGAATCCAAAAGCAAGAGAAGGAAGATGGAATTGAGTATTTGGGGAGAACAGAGGAGAGGTCTGATAGTCTTGTAAAGGCTCTGGTTATCCTACAAGGGAATCTGTGGTTTTTACCATCAGAATGAGGCACTGACAGCATCAGAAGGAAGTTTATTTGCTGTACTGAATAGTTTAGGAGGTGATAAATTGATTAAAAGGTGAAACCTTAAAACCACACCATCTGCTGAGACTTAAAAGAGCTTTTGCCTTTGAGAACACAGAATTGTTGGGCAGTTTCTAGTATTTTTCAGCACCATCCACAGCAATCTTGGCATTCTAACATAGCTCCCAAAAGGAGGAAAATATTAATTTTGAAGTGTATAAACAACAGGCATCTCAGCACAACCTGAGTTGTCTCCTATCAACTATGTAATCTTTATATTCTAGATTAATAAACACTTCAGCCTTGGAGTTTATTAGTCCAAAATATATTTATTACCTCATAAATTCAAACCCCCTCCAGTTACTATCTAATTAAACTGCAGCGCTGTGCATGCTATCTTTGGGGATGTATTAATAATGGAATTATCTTGTGAAACAGTAATTACATACTTTGTGCATTCTTTGCCACACTCTTTCTTCAGTGTCTGTGTGATGAGTGGGACACACAGTGCTCCATTGTTTGGAGCTCCTCCAAACTCTCTGTGTATCCAAAGATAAGCAGATTTTTTTTTTCCTCTCTTAGTAGAAGAGGGAGAAAAGTTTGTGCATTTTTTGTACTCGGGAAAGACCAACACCACAAGACTAGGAGCAGTTATGAAACATGATTGTGCAAGTGATTTTAGCTCATGCTTTCTCCTCACTATTTGAGGAGATTACTCTCAGGAGTAAAACCTCCTTGCAGGATATGTTCTGTTTTTACTGCAGCTGCCAAAAGGTGAAGACAACCACTTTATCTGCAAGAGAATATTCATTTATGGGACTTCCCTGGTGACATAGGTTTGAAATGGGAAAATGAGCTTAAAGTCTTCTTCAAGAGAGATTTACTCACAGTTTTCTCCAGTGGTAAGTATATTTGATGTATTCTGGTTCATAAATGTATTGACTCTGTGCTCTTGCTTTATAAGGTTGGATAATTTGTATTATCTCTGGATAATTTGTATTGACAAGAGTTCTTGTGCTCATTTTTCCTCCCTTACTGCAGAATTAGGTGTCTGAATCCTGCCTGGTGTTCCCTTCCCCACATGGAAAGAGGCACAGGAGGCAACACCTTTTGCACATAACTTCCCTGGGGTTTTGAAGTGCCTTATCTCTAGTTCAAGTACATCTGTTGAGCAACAGTGGGAGTGTGTGATTCTTGTTGACACAGGCTCTGCTCTACCTGACAAGAGTGGGGTTGATTCTCCCTTGTACTTCCAGCACTTTGTGGCTTTAGGATCCATATGCTGCATTCTTTTGCCTTTTATTTGTTCACTGCAATTGCTGGGGCTGTGCAGTGTCTGCAGGGACAGGAAGGGCACTTCCCACCAGTTTTATCCCTGAATCTTTTAGATCTTTCCAGCACAACTTTTGCCTTCTCCCTGGTTTTCTGCTCCACAAGTTCTAATATCTGATGCCAAATACAAAATTGAGTAGTGGTCCCTCACTTCATACAAAGGGGTTTGATTGAACTTCCAGCTGGAGCTCCATCTCCACTCCTGTATTGTGATTGCAACTTCATGTTTTACTTGCATTTTGCAGTCATTCAGGGGCCAAGCTTTCAAGTCTTCCAGATTTGGACTTGTTTTGATTTCATTGCAAAATCCTGCAAGAATTCTGCCAACAGCAAGGCCAATGTGTCTGAAAAGAGATGGCATTTCCAGTACCTAAAGGTGTGAGTATCTCAGTAGTAAGAGTGACTCAAACTACTCAAACTTGTAGCTTTGATTTTTCAATAAGAAATTATTTGCTTTATCCAGTAATTTTCATCTGCCAGCACTCACAGTTATTTAAATCAGACTGTTTTCATGGATGAATGTTATTCTTTGGGAATAAAGAATGCCTGACAAGCTTCTGTAGTTTTGTGAATAGTTTTTTGTAAACCACAAAATGAAATGTAATTATTGTATGATATATGTTTTACAGAATCTCAAATGGCTTTATCAGAATAATAAAAGAATATCAAATGTCTATGAATTCACCTTCTGAGATTGAGTATCTTGTGCTTGGTGTCTTAATAAAGATGGGGTCTGATACCACTGTGTTACCACAGTGTAGAATGGAACAGTTTCCATTGTAATGAATAGCAAACATCTGCAAAGAATAATTATATTTATGCCATATTGCTCAAACACACATTGTTATTAATACAGCTCAGGATTAATTACAGGTTTGTCAAAACCTGCTGATTTCAAAACTTTTGTTTGTCTTATATTTCTTGTGGCTGTTGATGAAAAGATGGTCTGTGTGTCCCCAGAATGGTTCCAGGCTGTGTCTTGCCTGTTCTGTCACTCTGCTTTTTTGTGCCTGGTGTCTGATTTGGAAACTTTCAAACTAGACACCTTTCTGATGTGTTTTTCCTGATGTGAATAAATTCACTGCAGAATACTTGCAGAGCAAGAGATGTTTGTTGCCAAGCAATTACATCAGATGAAACATACAGAAGGGTAATATTTTAATCTGATTTTTTTTTTTTCCTGCTACAGGCATGAATCTGAAGATGAATTCAGGGAATTTAGGAAAGGAAAAAGTCAGGGCTTTTATTTCTTAAATTTTGTCCTTGTCTTCTGTATTTGCAGTGATTGCTTTGAGTCTGTAAGGTCATCATGGTTGAAGGCATGAAGATGAGGACATCAAAGCCTTTGCCCACTTATGACAATTACTCTGGAGACAAACACAGCCCAGAAGACAAATGTTATGAGCTACCTGTAAGTTCTGGTTCACAAAACAGATGAGAATCCAGAGATACTTCTGAACTTGGAAATGAAATTTATTCTCAAGGTAATGGTTGAGCTCATTATCTGCTGCTCTTTCTAAATGTAAACTAAGGAGAGCAATGCCCCTGTATTCTATCTATAACAGCTGACATGTTTTCTGCATTCCTGTGTTTGCCTAAGAAGTCATGGATAATCAATTTGATGTGCAAAATAAACTGCATGGATGAATTCTGATATGTATCACTTGCCATGGCTGTGCTGCTATGAGAGGCAAAAACTTCCAGGAAGGAAACAGCAAGGAAAAATCTGCCTGATAATTTTCTCATCAGTTTTTCTCCAAGGACATATTTGTAGGTGGATTCTATAGACAGTGTTTGGGTATTTTTCCCCCTCTTGAGTGGCTGGTTCTCTGTGTGTCAATTATTTTCTCTTGCTGTATTAGAAATCAAAGCTACCTTATCACTTCAGGATAAATATATCTATATTTATATCTCTATATCCATCTCCTATAATGCAAACTAGGAAAAACTAACCTGAAACATTTCATTTTCAGCCTTTCTTGTTATTTAAATATATATTCTAAATTATTTTTTAAATTCCCCACATGTATTACAAATAATTTCCCATCTGACTGGGAAGCAGAATAGGCAGGAACCAGCAGCAGACAGATGTGATTATAAAAGATGTTCTGTTTGTTATAATGAGACTTATGGTCTTAATAAACTCTTAGAATTTTTTTAACACAACCAAATTAAGTAAGTTTGAAATCTGATTTTATAGATCTAACCCTATCAGATCACTTTTTGTCGTATTTTTGAGGACAACCCCCCCAAATTTTTCTTAGTTTTAGAGAATTTATCACAAAATAGATTATCCCTAGTTCCAGCAAAGAAAAAAGGGAAATTTGTACAGATAAAAAGCATGAATGACAATCCTGATCATGTGGAAAAAATCAATCTGTGAGCTTAGACATAGTTTCACATTAGTCTCCTCCTTTCTTGGAAATCCATATTTCCCCCAGAATATCCAGCATTACGTAGCCTGTCAAAATTTGCTCATAATATTTCATGTCCTTCTGCTGGAAAGAAACAGCTGGATATTTTGTGTCATGATGTGACCAATCCACCTCTGTTGTTGTCATTTTAATTGCTGGGGCTGTATTTTTAAGTCCTCCACAGAAGGTCTTTGTAGTGACAAGCGAACGGTTCACGCTTCGTAAGCAAACATAAAGAATGCTGCTGCTAATTGGAGAGGGAGTAATGCAGTTATGATTCCATCAACATTTAAGTTACATTGGGAAAGGACACGTTTTTTGTTGTGGTTGTTGTTGCCACATAAAATTTTAGTCCAAGTGGATTTGGTGGGGAAGTTTTTAGAACAGAAGAGGTTAATCCTGGAATTACAGGGATGGGAGAGATGGAAGTTAAATTGTTCTAAGCTACATCTACAGGATAGAAATAAGCATTTTATTGCTGTTTCTTTGAAACTGTAGTTATTAATTGCTGGCTTGTGAAATAGCTTGTCTGTGAAAATGGAAAGAATGGGCAACTTCAGAAAACTCCCTTTCCCCTGCCCTGAAGAACTGCAGCCACAGTGTTTCATGTGGAGGAGGACTCCTCAAAAATCAACAGTTTCCCCCAAAAAGCAGTTCTTATTCAGTAATTTAAGTCTTTTGGGTGTCTTCCCCTTGATATTCTGCCTGTTGTAGCTATTGACTTCCCAATTTCTAAAAGTCTGCTGGACCTTGTGCTAACCCTTGGCTTTTTTCCTGAATTGCATTTCCATGGAATACCTGGCTATGGATTAACAGTTTTACAGTTATGTGCCCAAAGTTCTTTCCTGTTCATGCTGATTTAATTTTTTTTTCTACTCACATCTCTCTTCTCAGTTGGAGCCCCATCTTGAGCTAGCCTTAGGAGGACCAAAGGTGCTTCCTTTTCCAGTTCCCTGCCTGGATTTTAGAAGATACCATTTTTTTAGCATCTAAAGATGGAAATCACAGCAATTTCCATGGGAAGAATCTCAGAGATGACAGAGCTTCCCCCCAAAACACTGCCTGTGTAATTGCTGAAGACATTCCAAGCCACTCTAACGAAGTGCTGTCTGCCAGTCATTATGTTCTCCTTGGAGGACCATCTGTTGCACTTCAAATATGTAAAGGTCTCTATCATTTATTGCTCCAAACAAATCCAGGCCTTTGTCTGATGTGCTGGAGCTCTTGAATGGATTCTAAAGGTGGTTTCAGTCACAAAGGGCAGGGTGTTCCCTTTGGTTGTACTCCTTCAGCTCAAATTTCAGAGCACGAATATACTGATTAAACCAATATATGAATATTTTCAATTTATTTAGAAATGAATTATGAACAACAGCATATAAAAATATCTGAAATATGTTTTCTTTTAATTCAGCCAGGAGGACATTGGAAGATGTTTGCATCTGGTGAACAAATCTTTCTCATGTAGTGGTATCCAGATTTGATATATGCTGATATTGGAAGGAAAATTGCCTTATTTTAACTAAATTAATTAGCTTATTTGTATCTGAAAATAGTGATTCAAAGGAATAGTAAAAAATAGAATCAGCAGCTTAAAATGCTCAAGCCTTCCTTAGCACATGTCCTTTACAAGGATGTAATACTTGCTTGTACAGTCATTATTTATAGGTTAATTAGGATCCTTTCCCTGAGTAAAATGAGCAAGATCAGGCATTAAAATATGCTGGTTTTTTGTTTTTCCTGCTGCAGATTTTAAAGAGGCTGTGCAATCAGATTGGAGAACGTGAGCATTGTATTTTCACAGCAGAAAAGTTCTGTTCAGAGATTTCCAGCCAGAGAAATCCATAACGATTTCTGTCTGATTAGGGAGTGGTCCTATCTTTTTCCCTTTCTCCTCTTTCCCTTCTCCTTCCTGCACAGCAGCTAATGTTCTGGTCAGAAGTAATAATATGTTAGATCTTGAATGTCAGTAGCCCCAGAGATTCTGACAAGACTATTCATGTGCATTCATATGTCTTAACCAAAGCTGACACTAAAGAGAGCAAGAATTCTCATATTCCTCTTTTTATTGCTGTGCATTAAACTCAAATCTTCTCTTGGAGACCTCTGCTAGAAATGACAAATCCACCATTTGGAAAAGGCATTTTAGCAAGGTCTCAACAAAGCAGCTGGACATCAATCTGGCACAGGGCAGAAGCTCCTGTGAGAGCTCACAGTGCAAAGCTGAACTCTGGTTTACACCTTACAAATGCTGTGAGCTAAATGCTAATGGGAAATAACCATTCCTCCTAATCTTTCTAAATTCCAATTAAATAATGATTTTTTTTTTTTTAAACCATAGGACATGTCCTTATAGGGATATTTGGATTCTGGTAACTCGAGGTTGTTTTCTGAGAAAACACACATTGAGTAAATATTCTGCTCTACCTTTTACTCTGGACATATTTTACACACACTTGTAGGATGGTGTACTGCACATGTTTGGGTAATTTTGCAGGGATCTGATGAAGTTGTTAAAGCCAGGTAGGCAATTTTGCCAGCAATTATATTTTTAGTCTTCTTTTTAAAAACTGTTTGGTAGTAGTGACTGAGGCAGACTAGGTGGCTCTGGGCAGCTCGCCATTTTTAGGTAGTTTAATTTGTTAAAAATTATCTTTCTTCCCACCCAAATCCCCTTGAAACCATTTGGAGAAGAGAACTGTTGAACAGTTGCCAGTAATAAGTCCTGCTGAGACCTCTGTATCCTCCTGACAGAAATGTTGGTGCCAACTGGAGACTGACTGGCACGAGTTTGAACTCTACACTACTTGATACATTTGCTTCACATGCACCAATTACAATAATTACCACCTCTGTAGCTGAAGTTTAAGCACTCGGTCTGCTCTCCATACCTCAGGTTGTTGGCAGTATGTTCAATCCTAGAATCTCAATTTTCTTGGAATAATTAAGTAGAAAATAAATGCTTCAAAAAATTAAGAGACAGTCTGAATGGAAATCAGAGGCTGAATAATAGAGTGGTTTGTCATGTTGCTATTGTTAAGCTGCATTTATTTCTATTTAATCTTTATTTCTAAAAGGCAGCATCTTCTTTTGCCTGCAGAGATTCACCAGGAGATGCTGTAATCCATTGACTTTTATATTCAGCAGTAGAATATCTCTTGATGTCGAGGGGAAAAACAACATGAACTCCTACTTTGTTCAGATGTTTTAAAAATATAAATATTCCTTTCAAAATAAATGCTTTTGACTAGAAGAGGAAATCACCCATCCCCTACTCCTTTTGGCTGGATGTTTCCATGTAAGATTGTTGGGATTTAATACCAGGACTGGCTTTAACTGCCCAGTTCCTGACAAATTTAAATCAGTGATTTAAATCTGATGCAATGGGGACTATCTCTCCCTCTACCCCTGTTGTCTTTCCAAGAGACTGGTTAATTTTTAAATTGGATCAGCAACATTTAAAAAAAAACCCAAAAAACTGGTAAAGTTTCTATTACACAAAGATAAACCTTAGACTGAGCACAAACTGCCTTGCCTGTAGCTTTCCTAACATGATTGCACTGCACAGAGTAGATACTAAAAATTATATTAAAATTTCTTTATGCAGGTTCCCTCTAGGGAGAGGAAGAGGGAAGGAAAAAGCTTCATGTGACAGATGCTAATTATGCAGCTTAATGCACTTCTGGAAGTTGCAGAGATGAGAACTCTATAAGAACCTATCTACAAAACAAAGCACTTTTTCAACAGCATTTTTTTCTCAATTCTTTTTTTAATCTGCTTCCTCTCTGTTTTGCAGGAGGCTTTATTTCCCGGAGAGTACCACGGGCAAGCAGTGTCTCAGAATTCACCAGCCATGGATGTGATTGTTCTCCATTGTCTTGCTGTTCTCAGGTCCTGTGCATGGAACTGGGAAAGCTTCAAGGTTGAATTCAAAATTCCTCAGTTGATATCTTAGGTTTCTTCCCTCATTTGTAGATATTTTATCAGCTCCTTATCCTGCGTTTAGGTTTACTGACAAATGATGTTCTGCACTTGTGCTGGGATCCTACAGAAGGGTTTATTGGGATGAATGTGCCAGGACTGATGAACCAGATCCCAAAATGCATTATGTACAGAAGTGGGCTGAGGTCCTCAAACCTGGGAGGTGCAGCCACGCCAAAGCCAGTGCCAGACACTAATCCTCTCCTCCAGACACTGAGCTGTGCTGTTTGAGGGAAAAGAAATGGGGAAATGATCCTGGAATCAATTCAGACTTGCAAGAACCATTATCCTGGATATCCAAATCTACCCAACCCTTTTTACCAAATGATTTTTTCCTCTTAGTGCTACAGCCATACCAACTCTCACGTGCTTAATGCTGCTTTCCCCATGTCCTTCATCCCCTTGGAGATGAAGAACCTCTCCCGCAGGGACACCACGGTGCCGCTGGGACTCCCAAGGGGCTCGGGCTGGCCCTGGGCACCCAGGAATGCTCCTCGCAGCCCTGGGCTGCAGCCAGCCCAGGGAAAACCATCTGTTCCCTTTGGAAAGGGGTTTGCTTCCCCCCGGAGCCCTCCCCCCGCATCCCGGCTCCGGCCCCAGCTGCCGTGTTTCGATGAGCACTGAGGGAATGAATCTCCTGCGTTTAAAAATACTCTGCTTCTATTTAGATGAAAAGAAGAATCTTGCTTGCCTACACTGGCATACAAAAATAGGCTCAGTGTGAGTAAATCTTCAAAGTTTCTCTTGGTGAATATATCTAGCCTCACTTTTTTTTTTTTTTAACTTATATGATAAGTTTATTTATAGAGTGTCCTTCTTTCCTCCTACTCTATCAAGACATTTGCAGAAGGTTGTCGCTCGTCTTGTTCAGGAGTCCTGAAATAATTTGCAGTGCCTTTGAAACATCATCGTGTTGCATAGTTGTGATCAACGTGCTGCTGTTGCATGAACATATCATATTTTAATGTGAATGTCAGGTTAGCTGAGACATTCAGGGCTTTCTTTGACTTTAGCTGCTTTACACTGGTTTGTGTTTTCGCTTGAACACTGCAGTAAAAATTCTGCATATAGTAATTTAAAATTTTCCATTTTACATGCAAGGCATTGCCTAGAAAATTAATGTGTAATATGAGAGGATTAGTAAGATGTATACACTTTCCAAACATCTCTTAAAAATAGCTTTCACTGTCACTGTAGCATCTTAATTCTGAATAATCTCACAGTCCTTCTGCAAATCTGTGCATGTAGTAACAGAGAAGCCACCTACTTCATCCTCTTGAACTGCACAATATGGATCTGGGCATGGAAAAAAATGGGTTTTGGAGTAGGGCTCTGCTTTGGCAGAGAGGCTGTCTGTGGAACTACTGAGAGCATTAACGCTTGCATTAAATATTAAAATCAGCTTTCACAATTCTTGCCTATCTTTTCAAAAAGGCTCCAACGGCCTTAGTTTGGAATTTGCTCCGTGGTGCAAAGCGCCGGTGCAAATCTGGGGAATCCTCTGCCAAGAGGTGGAAGCTGTGGAAGGGGAGCCAAGGCGAGTGTTCCTGTGCTGGGGGACGCTCTGTGCCCGGACTTTGGCCCAGGCTGGCCGGACGTGCCCTGGGCTGGGCACAGAATTCAGCATATCCACAAGGACCGTGAGTCCAACCCTTATGGGCCAAACCGGGATCAGCCCCAGGAACAGACAGGAGCCCTGGCAAGGATAAGGGAAGGGTGAGCCCCTTAAAGGGGCCTTAGGGGTGTGTAAATATCGAACTGGGGGTGCCAAAGACACGCCAGGCTCTGCCCCGTGCTGCCAGGACATGGCACAACGGGCAGGGACCGATGCCCTGGCAGTTCCACCTGGACGTGAGGAAGAACTCATCCAAGGAGCACTGCAGCACGGTGCCAATATCCCAGCCACGATCCTGTGCTCTGGGCTGCCCGTTCCGGACCGCGGCTCTTCCACCGCGACCATCCCTGCGGCCCGGGAGCCGCGGGCCCGGCGGGAGCGGGACTCGAACCCGCGGCGCCCCCGCCGCACCGGCGCCGCCCGCGGCCGCTAGATGGCGCCGCCCCAACGAGCAAGGCGGGGGCTCCGCAGCGCCCCGCACGCCCCTGGCGGCCGCGCGCCGCCACCGCACCCGCCTTCCCCCAGCGGCGCCGGCGGCCATGGCGGTGCGCGCCCACGTGACGGCGCGGCGGCCAATGGGAGCGCGGCAGGGGGGCCCCGACCGCCGTCCCTGTGGCCGCCATTAAAGAAAAAGGGTCTCGGAATTAGCCGGGAGCCGGATCCGCGCCCGCTCCGGCCATGGGGGACCCGCGCTGAGGCTCCCGCCGCCACAGGATGCCGCGGCCGGGCAGCCGCCGACAGAGGCACCGCTGAGGGGAGCCGACGCGCCGGCGGGGGCTTGGCGGCACCGACTCCGCCAGCGGCAGCAGCGGCCGCCTGTGTGTCGGCGGCGCCGGGAATTGCGGGGCTCCGACCCCTCGGGGCTGAGCAGAGCCCGGGGCTCGGCCGCCGCCTCCCCGCCCTGCCCGGGAGCCTCGGGGAGCCTCGGGGAGGGCGCCCTCCGCCCGCCGCCCCCGCGGGGACCCGCACCTGAGGGGAGCGAGCGCTCTCGGGGCTCCCCCGCCCCCCAGGACAGACCGGCCGAAGACGATCGTTTTTTATATTCCACCCCCCCGCCGCCTTTTTTCCCCCCTCCCGCTGTTTTGTTGGGGTGTTTTTTTGTTGTTTTTGGGGTTTTTTTGTTTTATTTTTTTTTTGCCTTTATTTTTAAAGGACCGGCCTCGCAGCTGAGCCGGTCCCGCCTCGCCGCCCCCCCGCGCCCGGGGGTCTGGCGGGGGTCGCTTCCCCCTCCCCGCGGGGTCCGCGCTCCCCGAAGAGACTTTGCGGGTCCCCCGAAAAGCCCCCGAGGACAGCTGGGGAGGACCAGGCTCCCCGAAGACACTCTGCGATTTTCCGCCTCCTCCTCCCCCGAAAAGGCTGGGGATCGGCCTCCCGGAGACTCCTCCATCCTTCCCCGAAGAGACTTCGAGGGTCACCCGCAATTTCCTCCTTCCACCCTTCTCCCCCTCCCTCCTTTTCCCCACGGAAGGAATTTTTACCCAACGGAGGATATTTTGGTTTCGCCCTCGCTGCGAGGAGTATTTCGTTTTGGGGAGGGGGGGTTTCCACACGGGAATTTAATCCCCCGCTGGGCTGCTAAGGAGACTTTTGCGGCCTTTCTCTCTCAAGGAATACCTTCCCCCCTCCCCTGCCCCCGCAGATGTTTTTTTGGGGTACACCCCAGGAAATTTTTCTTGCTCTGCCTTTACGAATTCTTCAGACTGGCCTTGCTTCTGGCCCCTGAAGTTTGTTTTTATGATTTTAAATTTTAATTTATTTGGAATATTTTTGGAGCAGGGGAGAAGAATCTGACCCCCCCACACCCTGTTGCCCTCGGACTCCGAAGAGACGAGCCTGGATTTTTCTCTCTCCCACGGCCAATCCTTCCCAGTCATTCCACAATTTGCCCCTTTCTCATCTGATGACTAAAGGAACAGGAGGAAGAGGAGGGGGGGTTCTGGATTAATTGCCCCCGCTGGATTATTTATTTTTCCTGCTTCTCTCGCTTGGCATCTGAGAAGAGAGGAAGGAGGGATGTCAACTGATTTTTACCCCTAGCCCCCTGGATTAATTACCCCATTTTTATTCTCTTGTTGGATCAATTACCCCTTCACCTTACCTCCTCTCCCTCCCCTCCTTATGCGAACGAGAAGACAAGAGGAACAGGGAGGATTTTGATCTTAATCTCCCGTCGTTGGATTACTTACCACCTCCCTCTTTCTGTTCTCCCCTTCCACGGCGGCTTTACACCCCCGATTGAGCTCCAGAAGACGAAAAAACGTTCTGAGTTCCTCTTAAATTTTTTTAATTTTTTTTTTTTAATATATTTTTACCCCCCTCTCCTATACCTCTCTGTCTCTCCTCGCGGGTTGTTCCCCCTGCCACTATTTCGCGTGCGTGTGTCTGTAAATCCCTTATTTAATTGTATTATTATTTGTGCGTGTGCAGAGCCCCCCTCCCCCTTTCCCTCTCGCTGTCTGTCTCTCCCTCTCTCCCTCTCTCTCCCTCTCTCTCTCTGTCTGTCTCTTTCTTTCTTGTCGGAGGCTGTGGGATAATGGCGTGTGGGTTGTGGCTGTGAGGATGAGTTCCTGCTTCGTGCCGAACGGGGCCAGCCTGGAGGATTGCCATTCCAACCTCTTCTGCCTGGTGAGTGTCGGCCCCCGGCGCACACTCGCCCGGGGCCACCGAGGGAAGGGCTGGGAGCTCTGGGGGAGGGGGAAGGGGCAGTGGAAGCAAAGCAGCCATTTTTAGCAGAGCTTCTGCTGGATGAGCCCTCGGAGTAGGCCCTGCCTGGAGCAGCCAACTCTCCCATGCCCCTCTGGTTCCCCTCCATCGCTGTCTGTCTCGCCTCGCCCCTCCCTCCGCTTTCTTCCTGGATAGTAGCCTCCCCGCAACTCGCCTTTTCCTTCCCTTTCCGTGCCTTCCAACTTTTCCTCCTTTCTCCCCTATCCCTGCCTCTGAGCCTGCTGTTTCTCACAAGGGAAGGGAGCTGCTGCTGCTGCTCCTCCCGGCCCCACATCTCGGGGAACTTTCTCTTTTCCCTCCTCACTGGTGACATCCCATGCAAATCCCAGGCGAAACCTCCCGTATTCCTCGCTTTTAAACGGATCCCTTTCCCTGCTTGGTTTTATTCTTTTGGTGATGCCCTGCCTGTCTTGTGTTTTGATGTGCACCATTTTGTAGTCTTTTTTTTTTTTTTTTTTTTTTAAGCCAAGTATCAAATCGTTCATATTGTTGAATTTTGGTAGCTCCAAAAGTAAATTTGATATAACTGGACTGTGATGCAATTTTTTGGTGTCTGTGCTGAGCTGTTTCATCAGCTTTTAATGCAAATGAGCTAATCTTAGCTGTCTGACTGATATTTATGATTCCAGAGATTGTTACAACAATCCTGTGCCAATCTGTGGCACTCGTATTTTTGGATGGAGGGGAATCTGGACAGCCCGACTGTGTCTGCAGCCTGCACCAGGCCTGCAGCTCCAGATTAATAGTACAATTTTAAATCTGAAAGTCTTTCTAAAGTAGCAACTGTTGCAGACAACCTTTCATCCAAATTGCTCTCCTGCTGAAGGTAGGGAGGCTGCCATGTTAGGTTTAAATGTTGCAGTAATCTTTTGTGTGTTGTCATATTGGGAAGACAAAAAATAGTAACTTAGCAAATGCCAGCCTGCCTTGCTCTGCCTTCCCAAAGAGAACCCGGGGCAATGCCTCCCATACCTGCCTTAAGGTGCTTGAGTGACGAAACTGAGTGCTAAAACTTGGTGTTGTGGTGGAGATAATCCAGGAATTGTCTGCTACCCATTACACAGAGTAGTAACTCTTTCCCTGTGTAAAGTCAAATTAATTTCTTCCTAGGAAGGGGTTTAGTGGATCATTATCAACGTTCTTGCAGGTCTAACGAGGATTTAAATCCTTGAAATGTGGTGTGAGGAATGAAAAGTATGATAGCTCTTGGTAAAATCAGTGAACACGAGAGACTTCCTGAGGGAGAGACAGAATTTTTTACCATGGAGAAACTTGTGAAATTTTCCCAAGTGGTAGATGGCTGGAAGAATGTGTGATTTACTGTATCACCTATTTCCATGGAGTAATCTTGGATGGAAAAGGCAGTGTATGCACAAGTAAGGAAAGCCAAAGATGTTCTTTGCTAAGGCAAGTGTTTAGGAGATTGGACTGTGTCAGTCTGTGAATAATAACATTACTCACTCGTCTTTCACTCTTTTACTTTAAATCAAATCTGATTTTTCTCTGTGTAACCTTAAAGCTGCAGTGCAAACAAACAACTCTTGCTTTGCTGCAGTTATTTAATGAGCTATTAGAGCAGGATCCCTGATTGTTCCCAATTTGCCTCCTAAGGCACACAAAAGTAACCAACACGTTTCCCATTCTGTTCTGAGGGATCCCTTTCTCCCCGTGCCATCACCTCGAAGCAGGATGTGCTGGCTGGAGCTGCCTGAGCCCTGACAGTTCTTTCCTCTCTCCAGGCTGATCTGACTGGGATTAAATGGAAGCGCTACGTGTGGCAGGGCCCAACGTCTGCCCCCATCCTGTTCCCGGTGACGGAGGAGGATCCCATCCTCAGCAGCTTCAGCCGCTGCCTCAAGGCCGACGTGCTCAGCGTCTGGCGCCGGGACCAGAGGCCTGGGCGCAGGGAGCTCTGGATATTCTGGTGGGGGGATGACCCCAACTTTGCTGACCTGATCCATCATGATCTCTCAGGTAGGAGCTTGCTCACACCATCCTTTGGTCACTGGAAGGATCCCGGTACTCAGGGCTGGCTGGCTTCTGACACCTGCACCAAGCGGAGTGTTGTCTCC